TGTCTCCCAGTACAATTCTCGCAGTACAAAATTATATTCACAGTTTAATCTCCGATGCCTATCTTTGACCGTATTAGCTTTGAACACAAGTCACCGGTACATTGTTGTTCATAAGGAATATGGAAGAGTGTAAACAAACAGGAGCGACTTTACCCACCGGTGTATGACAGATACTCATTGAAGGGGCAACCATGGGGGAGGGGTTGCGGCCTGCGGGTGGGGTGGGGGTGGAGGGGTGGCGCCGGCGGGGTGGGGGTGGGGTTGGAGGGGTGATCGGCCTGGGGGGGGATGTGGGAGGTGGGTGCGCGTCTGGGGTGGTGGGGTGGAGGGGGGTGCGGTTGGGGTGGGGTGGGGGGGAGGGTTGCGGTTGGGGTGAAGAAGGGAGTTGGGGGAGGCGGTTGCGGCCATGGGGTGGGGGTGGTTGGAGAGGGCGGCGTATCGTCGGCCTGGGGTGGGGGTGGTGGGGAGGGGGTTGCGTTCGCCCGTGGGGTGGGGCGTGGAGAGGAGGGGTTGCAGGCCTCTGTTGGGGGAGGGGGTTTGCGGCCTGGGCGGGGATGGGGGTGGAGGGGTATTGTACAGCTATTTGTTTGTAAATGTAGTTTAAGAAGTTGTATACTTTTAGGGTGTATTCATATATGCGACACCCAGGGAGAGGAGATGATGTACATAGTTACGCCACATATAATCAATCGTAGAGCCACGTGGCGACTATATGCACGAACACCAAGAGCAGAAGTACACGCAAAGCGCTCCACAATACTCGACGTACGAGGGAACACACACAAACGCCACGAACACGCACGCAACGACACACAGACACACACACCACCACACACAAGGCACGCACGTCAGACTGACATCACACAGCAACACGACACAACACGCACACAAGTACACGCACACCACACAATTACACACACAGACACATGAGCACACATCCTACACATACCACACACCACACACGCAGCAGGACACAACACTGCACACACGAACGGTACTAAGCACAAGACAGACAAAGCAAGGTCACATCAAAGCCATGGAACAGTTAAACAAAACAGCTATAGCCACTAGGTACAAGAAAATATCTCGCTCAAATTTCCGAGTTAAAAAAGACGCCCTGTTTGACACTGAGAGCAGAATTTCAGTAAAGCGGGACAGAGACCCTCGCACCCCCCCTCGCTCCCCCCCATCACCACCACCCACGCCCCGCCCACCGATGACCATCGCCTTTTAAATATCTCAGTTTACCTAACGGGAAGGGTTAGGTCAGTAGCAACTCGGGGAGGTGTCATGGCGGGTGTTTTGATGCTTGTTCAGTGTAATATAACCATCAAAACCGTTACTTTCCCTCCTTTTTGAAAACCAAAATGATGCGACCATTTTCACAAAGCGCCGTAACTTTATGACGTCATCAAATAAATCAAAATAAATAAATAAATTAAAAAAATAAATCAAAATAAATCAAAATAAAAACAGAATGAGACACCGCCATGACACCTCCTGAGGTTGCTACTGATCTAGCCTTATCCTTATTTTCCTTTAATTTCCCTTATTTATCTATTTATTTATTTTTTCCTTTAACCCGCTCTTTTTGGACAGCCCTTGTACCTTTCCCACGGTCAAAAGGTGTGTTTAATTAGCTACCTGTGCTTCTATCTGCCCTCGTGGCGCTATCCGAAAATATCCATAATATAGAATCTCTTTTTGGAATACGCGAAAACTATATTTTTAAATTCATTTCGTGTTCAATCTTTCGCTTGGAATGCTCTGGCTTCTGTGATTCCGGTTTAGTAATCGTGTTTGCCAATAGATGGCTTCTGAGATTCCGGTTTAGTAAATCTTGTTTGCCAATAGATGGCTTCTGAGATTTCGGTTTAGTAAATGTGCTTGCCAATAGATGGCGCCACGAGTCCTCTAGTTACCAAGGAGATAATAATGATTCTTACTTATAGCTTTTTGTTTTCTTCTAATTTTAGTAATAATTCACTTTTCAATCGCTTATTCGTGTTTTAACATTACTTTCAATCGCTTATTCGTGTTTTAACATTAGTCAATCGCTTATTTGTTTTAACATTACTTTCAATCGTGTACTTGTGTTTTAACAACATTGTGATAATCATGAAGTGTATAATAGCAATAGTATCGAGAATAATAGCAAGAGAGAAAAAAAACTATTCACGAAAAATTAGGAAATGGAGAAATCAGGTGAGGTCATTTAGCGCTTCTGTTCGACTCCTTGGCGAGGTCAAAGTTCACGTTGGTCGGAGATATGATATCTTGTCTCCTCTAAATGTTCTTTTCTTTCTTTTTTTCTTTTCTTTCCTTTTTCTTTTCTTTTTTTTCTTTTCTTTTTTTATTTTTTTTTTTATTTCTTTTTCTTTTTCTTTTTCTTTTCTTTTTCTTTTCTTTTCTTTTCTTTTTCTTTTTCTTT